GTCCGTGCCACTGGCCAAGACGCTGCTTTTGACACACTGCAGAAGTCCACTCAGATTTAAAATGAAGACTGAGAACTATACATTCGATATTCTTTCATTTTATATTTAATATGGTTGCATTACTAATGGCAGTGTTTTGCCCTAAAGCAGAAAATTTTAAACTGGCAACAAAAGCAGCTTCTGAAAAGATATTGTCAGGGATGGCATTGAATCTGCACATTGACCAGCCTGGGTTTTTTACCATCGGCAGAGGTTGTGGAATAAGTAGACAAAGTTATCATCATATATGACACCCAGAAGCACAGAGAATTTTCCCCAGAACAGAAGATGTAGAACAGTGGTGTATTTCTCACTGTCCTTCAGCATTTTTCATCTGTCTGCTCAGTGAAAGACCTACTTTTCTTTTCTTCTCACTACTTTTCCAGAGTGGGTAGAGGCAGGTAAACCATGAATGCTTTAGCAGACAAACATTTGTAGTCTCCATCGAATCCCACTGCTTAAACAAAGAACATCCTTCTCCTTGCCATTGACTTAACGCTCTCCCTTGAGTAATCTTAACTCATCACTGCTATAATCTTTTTCAAGGAAAAGGCAGGATATTACCTGGTCATGCTTTTACCATGTTAAGATTTAACCCAAATTTTCACTACAACTGTTTTTTAAAACTAGGATCTGAATGGCTTACCTGTGCAAGCTGTGAACTTGTCGAGTACCGACTCGTCACTCCAGTGACAATGCCTGCTACAGAATTCGAACCGAGTTCAAATCTGGCAAAAAGAATCACTTATACTCAGAAAATGCCTATTTTTGTAGCAAGTAGCATTTTAAAGTACAATTGGGTAGAGAAAGCAGTAAACCAACTTAAGTTTCTTACTTTTCTACAACTTTCTCCCAATTTTCTTTTAAAAATGTCCAAGCTAGATGATAGCCGGATGGGTTTTTAGCAACAAATACAATAATAGAGGGAAGATCCTGAGTTCTTACGATGTCACCACGCAGACCTTGATCCATTAACCTAAGAATTAGTAACAGAAATGGAAGTTGCGTAGACCAGTAGATAAAGCTGACAGATTACTATTCCCATAGTATTTGGTGCTATGGTTGAGAGTTCACATTTCTCAAGGTCCTGACACATCGTTTCTGCAGGGTTACTTCCAACTTTTCACGACATACTCCTCAGCTGCAGACATCTTTCCCATTTCTGTTACTTTCACAATCACAGTTACTTGGCAGACCTGTACTCTGAATATTAAGGATAAAAATGAGGCTACGTTTTGCTCCTACTCAAAATTTCCAAATTAATATGAACCCTGCTCATCCTCCTGTAAGAAAGGTATTTGTTTACAGTAAGTGTCAGTAGAAAAATCAGGCCTGCAAGTGCTGCTCATGACTAAGGTGTCTGAACAGCACTGCAATGTAAAGAATAACATTAGGAAACAGCAAAAGTACGTCTCAAGTGGTATCTGAACACAGCTAAATCTGTGTCAGGTGCTGTCAGCCCCATCAAATGGCAGAAATCAGGTTCAACGAATGGACGGTTTGAAGGGAACACCTGAAAATCTCAGTGGTGCTCAACATTCTTCAAAGTAGGAAACCTCAAATTTTTCTAAGAAATGTACAGCATACGTACCTATCGTCAAAGTAACTACAAAGGTAAATAAAGAAGTGTCCCTCAAGCAAAGACAAGGTATCTGCTTAGCTGTTTTATCGTATTTTGTCCCAATTTGCTACTGCAAATTCTAAGCGCATTGGCTCCTGATACCAAAACACAGCAATGAAAAGTTCAGCCACTTCCTCCCACTGTATTAACTCTGTAAAGCATTTTATACACCATGAAATTCAAAAGCTATGAAACAAGACTGAATAATTCTGCTTCCTGATTCAATGCTTGTAAATTTTCCCCAAACACTTTTCTGTTCTGGGTAACTACTTACCACTGAAGTTTGTCCTTACTTCTGCTGCGGCTGAGAGCCAATTCAATGTCATGTCTCTCTACACTGAAGGAGTGCAGTCTGTATTTACTGAGGAGGAAGTCCCAGCCTTCGGATGTTTGTGCTCCAACAGTGTACACTGCTGACTTCACATCTGCTGGCAAGCTACAACAAGTTGAATACCAAGTTACTCTCCATGTCATATTTAGGAATACATGTCACATCACAACCATGTCACTGTCACATGTCAATTGGTATAGCAGACAATTCATTAAAAAATACTGGTCCCTCAGTGATATTAGAAAGTGATCCCTGTGGCTGGGAAACAGTTAAATATCTCAGGCTGTATCTAAGTATTGTTTCTTCCTTGGAAACGACTTCCAGAAACTCTGGACTCATTCACTCCTTTTTTTTTTTTCCTTGTCATTGCTATGCCCAGTCAGGTATCAGTTGTCTTTGGGCTGCCCAGAACAATCTCTCAAGACACATCCTGGAGGGTGTTTTAGAGAGTTCTTATGTCATGACGAGAAAACAAAAATTAGGTGAAGGTCATGAAAAGTAATTGCCTGTTTTTATAGCGGGTATAGGTCAATCTTCAAACATATAAATGAGGGAATACGTGTTATTTTCACTTTACAGAACATCTTTAACAACCCAAGTCATGGACCAACACAGGATGTATGTGCTAATTTGGGCACATACTGCGCACCACACTGAAGGCACTGAGAAGCCAAAGCCCAAGATACACAACTAGGTAGGTCCAGCTTCAGAGTGTGGAAAGGACTGGTTTAGCTCTTTTCATGAATTAACTCTACTGTAATTAGAGTATCAGGAAAAACAGTAATAGTTACAGAACAGACCTCAAGGTTCCATCGGATTTCTGCCATTCTGTAAAATACCCTTTGGCTTTGTCCACGCACGGCTGGTACCCGTGCACACACGCAAAGTGCAAGAGCGAGTCTCTAAGCAGCCTCTCAGACACGGAGCCTTCGTCACTCCAAGACTGCCTGTCAATCAGGTCTTTAAATAGATTGACTATCTACTCCTAATATAAGGTTAACAATAAAGATATATATTAAAGTGTGTTTTACAGGCTGCAGGCAGAGTTAGAAAGGTCTAGATTCTTAAAATGTTACCTTTAACTGTTGTCCTGTACCATCCATATCCCTCCTCTCTATGAGCCGGTATATAGGAATCAGCTCACTCAAGCCTTGGAGAACAGGCATGATTTGACTTTCGCGTTTCAGGTATAATGTTAAATCAAAAGCTTTGGAAATTGACAATTTTTTTATTCTAAGGAAGTAGAAGAGAGGGGATAAAACAAGTCATAATTAAACTTAAAAGCAAAATCCAAGACAAATGTTTTTCAGAACACTATCCAAAGAAGAAAGCCTTAGAGGTATCTCCCAATCTCTATTAACTTGGCTTTTTGAAGTGAAATGTGGCTGAGCAGCTACATCAGCTATGAAACCTAATATTTAATTTTTGAACTAAGAAACAAACCGTAAGAGAATGACTTATAAAGACTGACCATTTTCCCCCCATCTCTCACACGCCAAGGTTATCCCAGCACATCCTCTCCCTCTTGCTCTCTCCCCACTATTGCTTTTCCTCTACAAACCACGTGCATACAGACAAAATCCAATGACTGAGCTCATTTCCTTTGCAACACTTTTCTAGCTTGACATGTAGATATTTAGCCTGCAGTAAACCTCAAAGCTACACTCCTGACTGCTTCTCCACTGTCTTAGCAGTTCTACCTCTGCCAGGATACAACTCAATGATTTCTTCCAAGAGCAAACAGAGAAAATGCCAGAGGTCTTTTCTCACTCTTCCTGTTCATTTTTTCATCCTTTTGCAAAACTTTTTTTCTGCTTCCTTTCCATGTCAGCTCCCTGCACACATTCTTATTTTGTCCTCATTCACCTGCCTCTTCTGCCTCAAAATACAAGTATGCTCTAGTCACCCACCGTAAACAGAACCCTGCTTAACCCAGTTCACATCTCTAATTGTCCCTTCTTCTTCTCCTCTCTAAGCTCCCAGAACATGCTGAGCCATCTTTCTGCACTCTCCTCTCTTCAAACTAGAAAGACCTTTCTTATTCTGTCCAGATGAGAATCTTGACTAGCCCTGCTGACATCGCCCTGTGAGCTGCCACCTCAGATCCATATGATCTTAATTCTCTTCCAGCTCCCCCCTCTTTCTCAAACACTGTACTCTCAGACCAGGACTTACTTCCATCGGTTCTTTAGCTCTCTGTGCCAGGCTATGCACAACTGTTGGTAAAACACCTCTGAGACAGAGCCTTTTCTAATGCATCCACAGAACCAAGACTAGTCATGGTCATGATCACGCTACATCTTTATGACTGTAACAGCCTTGTTTCTAACTGACAAATGGCACCAGTGCCTTTCCAGGTACAAAAACATTATCCTTGTCAATCACTTCTCACTGGCATCCTTCTCTTAGCATGTCTTTATTGAACACAACATCTTTCACTAAATAACTGCAATCAAGAGAAATCCCAGGCTTACATTGCTGCAGACAAGAAAAGAATGTCCTCTCAGTCTGTTTAACAGATTTAATGAATACTATATTAGTTATCAATACTTTCTTCCTCAGTGGTATATGCTCATAAATAGAGAGTTTGTATTTTTTCCAGACTTGGACAGAAGGCCTTACCTCACAAGCTGGAATACGTTGTTAATGAGACTTGCTCTGTCATTGCTGCTCATCACTGTATGGTTCTCTTTCAAAACATCAATCAGACGATCCCATCCATCACCTTCGTAGTGCACAATATAGTACCCATTCATGTCCACATTGAATTTAACCCACTCCACCTCTTCCGGAAGGATAATGACATCTGGAGACAAAAACATAACTCCTTTTTTTCTTAGTGATTCAAGTGCATCCTAGTACTATACCAAATAATACTATTACTCTCATTTCAATCATTTAAAGAGCACAGTAACACAGTTTCCAAATATATTAAGAGATTGTTCTAGCTATATTATTCAACAGACAAAATTCTGCTTCTCTGGTACTAGTAGTTCCCATTCTGAAAAAAAACTCTGCAAAACTAAAAGGCTTGTAAATAAACTCTGAACAAATCATTAATCAAAGAAATTACCTGTTTTAGTTGTTATCAAAAATCTCTGAACGGTGTCAGATTTACTGGTAATGTAGGTCAGTGGAATGTGCCACACATACCTATGGAAAAACAGAAGTGCTCTGTTTAATGAAAGAACTCTGCAAAAGCTTCTCCAACTTGTCCCAGTCTTAACAACCCAGTAGTACCTTTTGCCTGCACCGTAACAGCAACGGGCGACACACCTCTGCCTTCAGCGCAGAGCCTGATGCATGTACCTGGCTTTCACTGAGTTTGCCTGGGGGACAGCTGGCACTGAAGCCTCAACAACATCAACTTTCCAGCCCAGTTCCACCAGCACGTCTCCAGCACAGGCTGACCCACACACCGAGCCACTGCACCTCTGCAGCTACTGGCATCCCGGACAGGCACGCAGGCTGCAACAACAGGAGTACTACAGATCCTGAGCTACACAGGGAAAGACTCACAACCAAACGGTTCGGGGAGCGTTCCTTAGAAACAACAGCAAAAGCTCTTATTGTGCATCAGCATTTGCCATAGGAGAGTATTTCAGTTGGCGTGCTGAGATTTCCCATTTTGTTTACCCTGTGGATGAAGGAGAATCTTCTCCCTTCACGTAGCGCTCCTGCTGCAGGTGGACATTCTTCCCTCTCACGGTGACAGTTACCAGGGGATAACCTTTCTGCAGTGTCCAAGTGTCCATCATCGCCCTCACATCAAGTGTCTCTCCTTTAGTCCAGTGCTGGTTTTTAGCAAGGGAAAAAGAAGACACATAAGAAGAGGAGGAAGATGGGAGTGAACTGTCAGTGAAACAGAAACGGGTACGTAAGAAGTCTCAAAGCTGCTGGGTATTTGTAAGCTCTACATAGGTATGTTTAGACTGGATGTGATGACATCTGCAGCTGGTTTTCTTGTGG